CCGCTATGAGTTCTACGCCGGTCTTTGTTCTCGTATTTTCCAGAATTTCTTGTTCTTTGCATTCTACGCCCACGTTGTGGATTACACCTCTCGTCACGTTCTGCAGTACTTGGTGAATGTTGAACTTAACCGTTCTTCTCTCTTCTAGCTTTAGCGCCTGAATTTCATTAATTTCCTTCGCGGTATCTTCCCGTTCCGTCATGAGAAAAATCGAGTTCGATCCACCCATGACTTGAAAACAAAAGTCGCTCACCGTGTAGATGTGCTTCTTGCCGACTGCGTCTACGATGGCCCGCCCGTAGACGTGCGTCCCATACTTGTCCAGTTTGATCCCTTGCTCGGGCCTCAGCGTGAACTTGAACTGGGTGCCCTGCGCCGCCATGACTCTGGGCTTGGGCTGAGCCTTCCAAGCCGGGCTCTCCGTAGAAACGTCTTTACTCGATTCGGAGAAAACTCGCCTTCGACGTTTTCTTCCCTGGGTTCTCCACTCCTCTTCGTCCGCAATGGTCCCGGTGGTATTCCCCCGAAAATCGGGGGTCCCCGGTGCCTCCAGTGTCGCCTCGTGATCCGTTAGGCTTCGTACAATAACCGACTGGCAGAGCGCGCCGACGAACGTCCGCCCCCTTCGACTGCTCCGCAGGAATCCTCCTCCGATGTTCTTACTTTGATCGCAGTATCGCCGAGAAATGGTAAGGGACAATGACAAAGTTATCAGCATATTGCAACCGCCTGACACTCATTATATCATATTTTTTTATCTTTGAAGTTACTGTTTCTTTTGTTGTCGTTGTTTCACTCGGCAAACATCCCTCTTTGGCGGGTATTTATACACGGCATAAAAGTTAAAGGTGAAAACTTTACGTGGGGCCAGATTAGTGAATAAAAGCTCCTGTCACAAATGTTTGGCCATGTTGATTTTTTGTTGTCACAACTTGAACGTTTTTTAATTGTACACTCTAAACATTTGCAAGACAAAAAGGTATATGTGGGCTCCACAAAGAAAAAAATTAATAAATTTACGGAAGTAAACAAATTGTGATTTACGACACGCACTTCGAACGTGTGAGTGTCGTACTTGACTAGTGACGTGACTACTGGTTAAATATTCACAACTGCGCGAACAAGAAATGCGTAACGTTTGGTCAAATGTTTACCCATAAATTTGACACGTCCACGACGATGTTTGAATGAGAAGCGGTTGAGCTCAACAATAGAATAACAAAATTGAGCCTTGAATATGTTCGGCCAAATGGAATTAACTGTTTCTAATAAGTTAGTGTGGTTAATGGGTTTCATACAACACACATCCGTCTTTGTGGCTTCACCCTTGTCAGAAGGGTTCTCAGTTCTTCCGTTCATTAATTCTATCGAGACGCTGTGTTTGGGTCTTCTGAAATAGAATCAAAGGCTGAGCAAGTGCGAGGAGGTTGTGGAGCTTCTTGTTGTAATAGATCGACCACAAGTCACATCACAAGGTCTTTATCTAGTGTGCATGATTCACTAAATGGCCCAAGATCTTCCGGATTTCCACCGTAAATAACAATCTTCTCGGCTGCCTTTGGATATGTGGGAAACGTACAAAAGGAGTTTGTCTGGCTCTTCTACTTGCAGTATGAACAAACAGGGAAAATGAATTCACCTTTCCATTACGCAAGTATACTTAACTCTTACAAATTTTGCCTGACACAATTAGTAGTTTGTTGACTTCGAGAGTATTACAGGGTCAGACTGCCAACCTGCACTTAATATAAAATTCAAACTTTTCTTTCTTAACTGAAATGCATATTATACTTTTCTGCCCAAATTGCTTGACATAAATGTGGAAGCCTCATCTACGGTTAATCATAAATTTCTCAATCACGGTGAAAGGCTGGGAAACAGGATTTTACGCACGCGAGAGAAAATGAGGGGACGCGACCGACCGCAAACGGGGTTAGTGTTAAATATTTTATATTCTCTCGAATCGAGCAGACATCTGAAGCTGTGTCATATATGGCTGTCTCCTCAGTCTGAGATTGGCGTTAGACACCGTTTAAATATAGCTTCCTCCAATCACCCCTTAGAAGGATATCGAACATACACTTGCACAGGGTGCCCCGGTTACTATGTCCCGGAGGTGCATTTGGTGGCAATATCCACACTTCCCTTGTGGGCTCCTGGCACAGAGAGACACAGCTTCCACGAGGTAGCTATAACAGTCCTCTTCTTGGCAGCGTCCTCCCACAATCCGAAACACGTCTTTGTTCGTCAGAGCCGGTATGGCGACATAAATAAGCAAAGATGATGCAGCCATAATACCCCGATATGTACCCAATATAAATTATTTTGTATAAGTCAAGAGTCAAGCACACCTTATCAAGCTTCCTGCAGTATCCGAAAACTAACAAAAATCGATCACAGAAAAAAAACGAAAAAAACGTTGATATATGAAAGTTGTTTGACCGCCACCGCCACGCACCAATACGACTTCAAGCTCAACGAAGCAGGCGCGCCCCGCGCCTGCGAGCAAGGCGCCAAAAAGTTTGGTCACGTGAGATTACATGCCTAAAGTTTCGGAAACCGTTACACTAAAAAGATGAAGTAACTCCCTCTCCCTCCTTTTATGCTTTTGTTCTTGGGCCTGTTTCTCTTTGTGTCTCTTACTCTCCTCCCTACTTCGCGGGGGCTGTTTTCGTAAGCGCCATCGTAAAGGTTACGAGTTGCTCCTAACGGTTACACGTTAGAAGTTGGAATGTCCGAGCCGCAGGGTAACCACTAAATTTGAGCGCGAACGACAAGATTGACTGTTTTAATCCCTACAACACAGTTACAATAAAGAAACCTTTAAAAACGAAGCCCCTCACCTCTAAATTAGGGGACATATCCGTTTACAGGTAGCTATAGAGGTTACATACACTATTAAGAGTGTATGCGGGAAAAAGCTGAGAAAGAGCAGGAGACGGAAGCGCGGGGGGCGTTATGACGCCGTGCTTTAGTTGGAATGGTTAATGGGTAGACACAAATCTAACTTTGTCTCCACTGCACTCGTGAAACGCGAGCTCCATACGCCGGCGTTCCGCATTCTAACGCGTTCAAACAGTGCAATTGAGACAAAGGCAGCGAGCTTCCAATTTATAAGACCACTAATCATTCCAACCATGCAGAGCTCGATGTTGTGACGTCCTCGCGCGCTCTCGTCTCTTCGTGTCTCTTATTTTCTGCCCGCATTTTTTTTAATTTTTTTTTTTTGGTGCTGCTGTGTAGTTACTTTAAGAGGCACAGGGCGTGGTGATTATGTTCATGTGTCTCGCTTCGTGATTCGCGCTTCGACTTCCTACTCTGCAGACGGTGTACTCTCATCGTCTTATGCTCGCGCCATACCCTTCGTCTCTTAAAAGGACACTAACACCCCCTAAAAGTTTGTTTTATCTTTTTCTTTTTTTTTTTTTTGCCAGGCGATTTATTATGGTGTCAGAAGACTACCCAAATGATATTTTGCTACAGAGTCTCGTATATTTTCAATAAAGCAAAAAAAAAAAACGCAACTGCTCGAAACCGAGACCGAAACCTGTGCACGTCGGTTTCGGTTTTGAAACCTCCGTGCGCACTACCGCCCTTTTTTTATTTGTTTTTTTTTTTTTTTTGGCGGCGCGCAGCAAACGACGTGCGTTGCGGGAACCTTTTGCCGTGCGATTGTTTTGCAGTTATGTTTGTTCCGCTCGCTGTTCTGCACTTCAAAATGAGTTGTTTTGTACACCCAAGACTTAAAAATGAGTAGTGAGAGCCCGTGGTGAATGCCTCTGATCAGCTCCGAAAAAAATGACCCAAGATGTTGCGTCAAGGGCTGTCTCGCAGGTCCTCCATTCGAAAGTAGCATTGTGCGGCAGAGTCTACACAAGTTTCCGAAAGATCAGCGGTATCGGGACCAATAGCTGACTGCAATTGCTGCAGAAGAGTTACGGGCCAATCGGAAAGCGGACGCTACCCAATTCATATGCTCCTTGCATTTTGTAGAAGTTACTTGGCACTTCGCAGGTGTCAAAAAGGGAATTCCATACTATTTAGTACACCTTGTTTCGTCCACAACATTTCTTGTTTTTTTCATTAATAACAGAAAAAACAATTTAATATAAATTATAAATATTGCAAAATGTTCGACCAAAATAAAAGCTGATCTACTGGGGGAACTCTTAGTTCTTAGTAATGCAGCCGGTCGACTGCAGGTCGGAACGTTTGCTGCCGATATCCCTCCAGCAAAGGCACTCCCGGCTTGAAGTCAGGCAGCACCACGCGTTAGCCACATTCGCACATAGTAAAGACATTGTACGTGTGCGTATTCAACTCGAAGTACGCACTTCGTACTTGACGTTCGCGCGAGCGATGTCTTCAGTTACGAGAAGGGGAGACGGCTCGGCGACGTCTTCGTACAAATCGGTTTGGTGGTCGGGCGTGTCGTATTGGATGAATACCAATTCTTTTGATCGGTCCAATATTTCTCTTTTGAAAGAAGACAGATTCGCCGTGGGACCTCTACTTCCGAACGACCGTTCGGAAGTAGATGTCCCACGCCCGTCGTCTGCCGCCATCGCAGTCCAGCCTGCGAGTTTCACGATACGCGATACGACGCCCTGTTGAGAATTACGCAGTGAACGCACAGAATGCTTCCGGTTAAACTTTTTTTAACGACGTTTTACAGTTTTTTAGAAGCCACAAAAATTAGTTAATTTTTTTCTGTTTTTAATATTGAGTATGTGCGTTCAATGACCCACTACGTTGATTAAATTTGGTGGTTGTGTCTAAACGTTAGAAAACGGCCCGTGACCACGGAGAAGAGAGTAAGCGAGACTCGATCCGGCCAGTTCTCGATCGGCGGTTTTGGGGCGGAAAGCAACCGAATTTCGAGCCGCAAGTTCTGTTCTGGGTAGTTTGTCTCTCATATGTTGTGTAAAACTAAAAACCTCGGCGAGCATGAATACCCTGTCAGTATCCCTTTAAGCGCTTAGTGACCAAAACGTAAACAGATGTTACAACGACGTCACAGGTATGCGCCAAAAAGCCGAGGTTCTCATCCTCGTATTTATTTTCTCGGTGTCCTTAGGCCCGTGGCGAGCCAGCTGATCAAGGGAGACTCCGTAACGGCGGAGTCATTCGAGAGCGTCACCATCTACTTCAGCGACATTGTTGGCTTCACATCCCTCTCTGCGCAGAGCACGCCCATGCAGGCAAGTACGCTTCCCCGTCGTGGACAGGGTGAGCAGCTGGGGACCCATATGCAATACTTCCGCCCACTATTGGACCGTAAACGAATTCGTATAAATAAGCCTATAACAGAGTGCAATTAAGCTTTTCACAAAGGTGCCTTTAGGTGATGCATTTATCGCTTCTTGGAGAAAAACATTCGAGCAAAAAAAAATCTCATTTCTAGAGAGAGGAAATTAACCTTAATAAATCGTCCGGTTGATGCTGCAACTTACAGATGGCGCAACATAAGAAAGAAAAACGCGAAATCCTCTTTGAATTAAACTCCCGAAAGCAGATCCAGTAGATCCCACCGTTTGAGGTGCCGCTTTCCTCCTTGTGCACATGGCAATAAGAAAACCTTTTAGGCTTAAATTTGTTTACGGAAACATACACTCATAAAATTTGAGGTTGACAAATTCACGATCCACAGGCATTTTCGTGAAAAATTTAATTACCCTCGGTTTATTCGCTTATTTATGTTTTTTTCTTACGCTCGAATATCGCTTTGGAACACCCTGTGTATACACAATGGCCTCCACTGACTTCACGTCACCTGCCGTTGGAGGGGTCTTGTTGCTGAGCACTTACCTTCTGCAGCATACACCTTGCACCACCGTATTTGTTGTTCTCGGCAAGAGCGAAGATAGAACGACAACTAGCATGGTGCGGTGACATCACGTGCAAGTCACGTGTCGCAACTGAGTCAACAGACTCGCACTGCCTAGCCTGCTGGCTCCAGCGGGTACCCGGGGTGAAAAAACGCAACGCTTGTGACACGCAAAAAAAAAAAAACAAAAACAAAAAAAAACACTTTTATAAATCAAACACGTATGTTAAAGACTCCTGCTACGTGTTACCTGTTTACTTACATATTTTCTGTTCACTACACTTTGAAAGATTGTTGTTATCTACTGGTTACTGGAGATCGCTACCTTGAGCTGTTATATGTTTCTTTAGAGGAATTAAAACAAAGTTTCAATTCCTAAACGATTTTGTTTAAGGAAATTTTTCGGTACGTTGTATTTGATCAACGGGACCTAATACATAGCGGAGTTGGGATATTGCAAAATTTAAATACTCGTCTTCTGCTGTGCTGTAGTGTTTTACTATAAAACAAAAGAACCGCGCTGAATGCAGTAGCGGTTCAGAGGGTTCGTTTGCGGGATCACGAAGACGTCGACCTGTATGGAGTTGCGGGGTGCAGAGTTTCGGAAGCTGTGTTGTGGCCGTTACCATCCTGCATGTGTAACAAAATATCGTTACCATTACTTCCAAAAGCGAGGTTTCCATGTTACTGACCGATCGCCTCTGAATGAACTTACATTGCAGACATGCTCTCAAGGAACTGTGTATTCGCTCACTGTTAAAGTCTTGCGGGGGCTCGGGTCGCGGTATTTCAGCGGGGGTCCAATGTCACAGGAGGGTCTTTTCCCCATCGTCCTGATAGTCGGGTGGGTTGCGGCAGGCACAGCCAGCGATGGGCACAGCGCCGGCACCCACGGAAGCGGCCCAGTGCCAACGCCTTGTGTTCGCGCCAGCAGCCAGGTCCATTGCGTTCGGGGGCCCGGTCAAGAAAAGCACTGGTGCCGGCCGCTCGTCCACCTTGTCACCACCGTTTGTTCCCAGCGTCCCTCTGGCGATGAGTCAGCCCATTCTCGGGAAATACTCGTTTTCACCTCAAGAACCGTAGTAAACAAAAAGTGTGGCTCCTCGGGGAACATTACTAATTCCTTCCCTTTATGTAGAGAATCAAGATATATCTAGGTGCATTTTAGGTTAGGTATATGTGATCTTATCAATACCTGCACGTTTCAAAAGCCAAAAACATCGCTTCTTTCCCCGAAACCCATTTTTGAAAGAACTACTTCTCGTAACGTGTAAACAATTCACAATTTGTGATTACGTTTAAAACTTCAGACAGAGCCAACGATATGTTGTTGTCTAATTAGGCGATTAGCTGCAGACATAATTTGAAGAGCCGCGGCCGGTCATGTGACATCATATGCCGTCATTTTCCCCGCAAAATTTAGCGGTGCAACTGAATTTGTGTGCAGGCCACTCGACATGAAGTCATGTGACGTCACTTTTCCTTTCTTAATTTTAGCGTTGAAACCGGACGGGCGTTTAGGTCACGTGACGTCAATTTCCCTTCTAAATCTAGCGGGGAAACTGAATTTGTGTTTAAGGCGCGTGACATCAAGTCATATGTAACGTCATTTTTTTCCCGCTAAAGAACGCAGGCACAATAAACGGCCTGAAACATAGCTCAAAGTGACCTGAGGATCCTAAGAAAGATATTCGCGTTAAAAAGATTCATTGGTGGATCCTTAGAGAATGTGTTAGCATGACCCTTGGAAAACGCCACACATGTCCGTCCCTCTTTGGGAAACGCTAACGCTCACCTATTCACTTTTTTGTTTTGGCTTTCTCTTCTTGCTTTCTCTATATTTTTCTGCCTCTTTTAACTTCGTTACGTAGTCGGTGTTAGCATTTTTTAAAGGAGGACGTGTGTGGCGTTTCCCAAGAGTCATGCTAACGCATTCCCAAAGCATCTGAAAAAAATACGACGACGAAGCTTAGGAAGTCTCTTGTATTCTCTTATACTGTAGCTCCTAAATTGTGAGTAATATATCGACACACTCTCAATTCCTTCGATCAGCTAGACAGACGCAATCGCCTATTTCATAGGAAGCGAGGCATATACACTCTTAGAAAAAAGGGTCTCTATAGTCCTCCTTCGAGGGAGGAACGTTCTGGTGACCTATGGTCCTTTAAAAAAGGAGACACTTCCATCTTGAAAGCAGGGGAGAAAAGCTCTTCCGTCGCCTGCATCTCATTATGGCGGCCCCGAATCGAGCAAATCGATCTCAATAAGGCTTAACGAGGACGCAACTTCTTTTGTACGGGACGAGAGGAGCAGCAAATAAAAGCGTAACACGAGCTTTTCGCGATCTGTGTTATTTTCCCGGAGTCAGCTTCCTCCGCAGGTAAAGAAACTTGCGTTTCGAAAGCAGTCACCGATCTCGTCGTCAGCACCGTGATGTTAAACATTGACAACCAATTCTCTTTTTCCTTTGATCTCTCTTTCGTCTATCTTTTTATCCCCATCCTCTTCCTCCAGATCATCATCATTATCAAGGTTGAGATCTTTTCTTTTCCTTTTTCTGCCACTATTTATTTATCTATCCCTAAGGACTCACCAATGGATCTTCCTTGAATTTTTCGTTGCCGTCTAGAATGTTTACATCGCACCTGAACAGGTAAAAGAGGAGTACATGCTCTCTCTACAAGTTGATCACGTCGATTACGGGGTAGTTATGGTAGCGGAGTACCACGGTCTCCTTTCGAGCCCCGAGACGCCCGGTGCTATAGGTCGGCTGGGCGCATTTCGTCCAGCCGTGCCTAGGCGTGGCTTCCACTCTTCTGTATCGTTCGCTCGCCTTGCAGGCATTGCAGCGGCATTCGCAGCCTGACGCTGCCTTCGCTGCTCACCGGTTTCGGCAGCCTGTCTCCTTCGTTCACAATCCGTCTTCTTTTGCCGTCTACTTGGATCAGCGCTAGTACTTGGTTCACATTTCATTTTGTAGCACAAATCAAAGAATACGCGCTCCGCACACCTGCAAGGTCAGACTCGCCCCAGCATCAGCGCGCGCATTGGCTTCCGTCCCGTGACGTCGTCTCCCTCTCTCCCTTGTCCTTCACTACTCTCCTCCTCTCTACGCGGCGCGGTTCTCTTCCCACTGCTTTGTCCACAGACGGACGCCGTCAGCGTCCGTCTGTGGACGCTGACGGACGCTGACGTATTAAAAAGAACGCCAGGACCTCCCAGGGATATCTCGACGACCCTCAGGCTGTTAAAGAACTCGGCCCAATTCGAACCCAACGCATGCGCTCTTGGGACTTGATGAGGTATCACAGTTTGGTGAATTAGTGCACCCGGAAATATAAAGTCCTTTGTTGATTGAGGTACAATCGGCTGGCAATCTTCGCAGGAGGTTCTCTTGTGTTCGATATAATTTCCCTTTTTTTTTTTTTTTGGAGGGGGGGGGGGGGGTATGACGGAAATTGTTGCCGTGTTTGGTTTCAAGATAGGCATACTTGTTTCTTGTCGAAAGCAACGAACTATTTTGCTGCGTTGATTAGATGAGCAAGCAGGGTTGGGGATCAAGCTAAAATGACTACACTGTTTAAGGAAATGATTCTTCAAAGAAGCGATGCAACAATTTTTGTACTGTGCACAAATACCGCTTAAAACGGATCCCTAACGTTAATGACCTAGAAAACAAGCGTTCGTTTTTCACCCCACGCAATAGAAGTCCCAGAAAAAAATAAAGAAAAACGAGCAGCGTTCACCCCCTCAACTCGCAGCCAGAACAAGCGGCCACGTGATCTGTAGCCGATTATATGCCGCCAGTGTTGATCATAGCCACGCGCTGGGGTTGGCAAAGCGCAGGACACGCGCTGAGTTCCAGACATTGTTATGGCTCGGCTGTTGTCGTCGTTGCAGCGATTGGGCGCGTTTAGTAGCGGCCCCGGAGTCAAGGAGTCACTGACTCCTTCCACTGGACGGCCAAAAGTCACTTCCGGTGCACGTAACTCCGGGGCTTCGGAGTCAAGCTCCGAAGCACCGAGTCCAGACACGGTGTACGTAGAGTCAAAGGAGCTAAAATGACGTCATTTCCTGACTGGGGACGATTTCCGGCGCTAAAAGAGGAAAAAAACAAACAATATGGCGGGATAAGCTGCTTCGGTTCTGTCGCGGGTGCCCGGTTTGCTCGCTTTTGTTAATGAAAAGTGCTCAAGGTAAGGCAAATAACGCGTTTGAATTTCTTTTTGAGTTGAGGCTCTTTCGGAAAATGCAATGGACCTTATTTTGTTTGGTTTGAATATGCTAATAAACAACGCAAACCTTCATTTGACGCCGTGTCTTGATCACCGTTGCACGGAAGCTTGGTAATATTGACGATAGTCCTGTCCGCGC